GCTCAGAGGATGATGGCTAAGATGGGCTGGAAGCAAGGACAGGGTTTGGGCAAGCAGGAGCAAGGGATTACAGCGCCACTCGTGGCCAAGAAGACAGATAAGAGAGGTGGAGTTATTGTGAATGCCGGCGAGTCAAACAAGAAGGTTAAGAGTGTTAGCTTCAATGGGACTCCCACCAGAGTTGTGCTTCTTAGAAACATGGTATGTATTCTTTATTTTCAGGAATGAAGCTTTGCTCGATTGGCTATGATATAATTTTCGCATTGAACAGGTTATTGAGCTCTGGTGTTGTGAGATTGTGTAGTTAAATTTGTTTGGGTTGGATTTTTTGGTTATGTTTGATGGAATATTTTAAGTACAAGTACAATGACATGGAGTTTAGTTGAACACTGGTTGAGATGAGTCTAGTGTTTCTTTCGTTGAGTTAACTGAAACCGAACAAAGTTCATGGTCTAAGAAATGTTTGTTTTCTGTGACAATGAGGTTTGGGATGCCTGTATAATATTTACTACATGATAAAATCAATTTTAAAGGGGAGTTGGGGGAAGAGTAGGAGATCTGTTTCAGTTGGTGCATGTGCATTGTTTTTAAATTAGGTTATTTGGTTAGTTAGCGTTTTTTGTTCGGTCATAAGGCGTGAAACAATTCAGTTCCGGATACATGTTTTACAGTTTACCAAACTGCATTCTTATTGAATCTTAATTTAGATGTGATGTTTACTAGTTAGAATTTAGAAATAGTATTGGAATTCAAATAGAATTCGTTATGTCAAATGCTATGGATTGTCGTCTCCTCAGAGTTCCATGACCCAGATTTAATATGTAAATCAAACTATATATCCTTGTAACAGGGCTTTATGTTTGTCATTGGTATAATTTTAGCATTGAGCAGGTTATTGAGTTCTGGAGTTGTGAGATTGTGTAGTCAAATTTGTTTGAGTTGGATTCTTTGGTTATATTTGATGGAATCATTTAAGTTAAAGTTCAATTACATGGAGTTTGGTTGAACGCTGGTTGAGATGAATCTTAGTGTTTCTTTCGTTGAGTTAACTGAAACCGGACAAAGTTCATTGGTACAAGAAATGTTTGCTTTCTGTGGCAATGAGGTTGGGATGTCTACAAACATTTTATTACAAGATAAAATCAATTTTGAAGGGGAGTTGGGGGAAGAGTAGGAGATGCTGTCTCATTTGATGCCTTTGCAATTTCTCATTTTAAGTTTGTGAGGTTATTTGGTAAATTAGTCTTTTTTGTTCTTCAAAAGTCGTCGAACAATTCAGTTCTGGATACATATCTTACAGTTTACCAAACTGCATTCTTATTTAATCTTAATTTGGATACGATGTTTAGTAGTTAGAAATAGTATTGGAATTCAAACAGAAATTTGTTATGACGACTAATGCTATGGATTATCGTCTCCTCAGAGTTCCATGACCCATATTTAATATGTAAATCAAACTATACATCCTTGTGACTGAACTTTATGTTTGTCATTGTTATAGGAGTTAAATGATTATGCATACAAAAAAAGCAAGCTTGTTTTTACATTTAACCTTTGAAAAACTTTATGGATTATGTTTCAATCCATCTGGAGAAAGACAACGGAAAATGTAGTCTTAAATCTTAGAATATAGAACCTTACTCTGACTGGTGTTCCGCTTTGAACTTGAGGAAACAAATTCAGAGAGAAAAAAAGGCCATGTGCTTCAGTGTTATTTTTTTTTTCCTCTAAGCTTTCCATTCTATGTAGAGGTCCTGTCAATGACGTGCAATCCACGCTTGCATGATCAATATCAAGTTTCAAATTATTTTGTTTAATGGAAATTTCCGTAAGCACACTGGTCATTCTTCTTTTATTTTCTGTTCATCAGTAGCCATTTGATGATCTAACAAGTATATGTTGGGGAGCAATAACTATTATCCATCATGCTGCTCATTGATTCCAATTGACTCACTTGATATTGGAATGCATGAAATTTCTGGAATATTTCAAAGTTATTGCCTTTCCACCTATATATCAAATGTTTAGTAAAACACATACGGTATATGCAGAACTTCTTTCATGTTTGTTTTTGATACAAGACAGTGAATAGTCATTGTTTGTTGTTTTATCCTCCCCAGTTATTTTGTTATTTATTTTTTTTTTTATCATGATAAAGGATGCCTATGATTTTTTATTTATGTAGTAATATGCGTGTCTTTGTGAAGGTCGGTCCTGGTGAGGTGGATGATGATTTAGAAGGTGAAGTAGCAGAGGAGTGTACTAAATTTGGTACAGTGACTCGTGTCTTGATATTTGAGATTACTGAACCTAACTTCCCACACGACGAAGCTGTAAGAATATTCATTCAGTTCGAGAGAGCAGAACAAGCAACTAAAGCTCTGATAGAACTCGAAGGCCGCTTTTTCGGAGGAAGGATTGTCCGTGCTTGCTTTTATGATGAGGAGAGGTTCAACAACAACGAGTTGGCTCCTTTGCCGGGAGAAGTCCCTGGCTTCTTTTGAGTATCTTATTCTGGGTAATTTTGAAGGTTATCTTCTTGAATCTTCTCGTCTTAGTCATAAGTTATGAGCAATGTTGTTTATTTTCAACTTCACTGATACTTGGTGAATTCGAATTTAATGATGCTGTGTACCCCTTAACAAAATGATGATGCTCTAATCTTGTTCTGGTTATGTTCTTCTATGTGAGAAATTTTGTGCAAAGGGTCATTCTTACTAAGAATGGCTTTGGGCCAAGTATAACATGAATGTTATTAAGTACCGATTCTTTACTCAAACTCTGAATGTTATTAAGTACCGATTCTTTACTCAAACTCTTGTGCGACTCAGTCACTGTTAGATGGAGTCACATATATTTTTATTTATGATGGTTTTTATATTTATACAATGACATTTTAGTTCAAAAATATGTATATCTATTGAAAAAGTATGAATGAATAACGGTAGGTCAACCTAACTAATGTCTTATTGTTCTTTTGATAGTTATCTCGATTTCCTTAAAGATTAAATTACACTGATGAGGTGCAATGGTGTTATTCGAGCCGAGCTGAGTAGCTCTCGCTTGATGTATGCCCATTTATAAATGAGTCAAAAAGCTTGACTCGAGTTCAATTCGTGAAAGCTCGATTAATAAACTTAAAAACAAGTCATTTGTTAACATGAGATGTCTGTTTGCGAACAAATTTGACTCGATTATTTTATTTGAAACTCATTAAAGATAAACAAATTTGACATTAGAACAAGCTTGGTTTAGTTCGTTTTATAAGCGAGGTGGATTAGTTGTTCGCGATTTACATGTTGAGTAAACAAAAAAGTCGAGTTTGAATTTTCACGAGCCAAATCAAACCATGTTCTGATTCATTTAACAGCTCTATTAAGACGCCAAATATACAAGTTAGTTCAACAAGCACAAGTTGTTCATCTTATTTGGAATTTTTTTTTTTTTCCAACATCAACCTTAAACATAAGATTAAAACTCAAACAATCCAATACACGGTAATCAAATGATCACAACTTCAATGCCCCAATGACACTAGCAGCACGAGGAAGGATAAACCTACTCCTAAAAGGCACCATGCCTATCAAACAATACAAAGTACTAAAATATTGTTCCAATACAAACACTACAATCATTAATAAGGTTTTTGATATATGCTATTTCTGAATTCAGTGCATCCAAAGACAAGAGAATCCTCTTGAGTTGAGGAAGCAGTGAGAAGGAATGACAACCTTGCTCCTTTGCCAGGGACAACCCCCATTTGATAGCCCACAACTCATCCTCAAGATATATTGATGTTCCTTGTGCAGTCTCGAAAATAGGACCAAACCCTTCTATTCTTCAGTCAAACTGCCAAAATGGTGAATTTCGAATGGACTATTGACGACCCGACATGCTAATAGATAACTACTAAATCCATTAGCAAAAAATTCATACCAATGTCTTCCAACTCGGACTCAACTTCACGCACATCATATCGTCAATAGTCCATCGAAATTCACCATCTTGACAGTTTAGCTTGAGTAGAGAAAAAGTGATGTCTAACTAGAATTCGTGCTATGCCTATTTTCCATGTCCCAAAACTTTCCGTTTCTTGCATGCTTGGCTGTCATGTCCATAACTTTCTGTTCTTGCATGCTTGGCTTGGCTGTCATGGTAGATAGACTTGTTTGATCATATATTTTATTTTCTATGTCAAGTAGAAAAGTGAAGCAGATGATGTCATGGCTATAGCTAGACTTGTTTGATCATATATTTTATTTTCATGTCACGTAGAAAAGTAAAACAGATAATTTTGTTGCACTTGTATTACTAAACATTTAATTTAATAAAATGGTATGAATTAAATAATATTTTTTTGTAAAAAAAAATAAAATTATATGTAAAAAACAAAATTATTTAATTGTTAAAATAAGACCCCATAAAATACTTTACTTTGACATATTTTTAATAACAAATTAATAATTCAATAATTTCAACTTATCTCATATTTTTAATTAACAAGTGAACTACCATGTATTTAATATTTATCATAGCTACCTCAATTAAAATGTTCTATTAATAATGGATTATATAGTTTAGATAAAATAAATTGATAGTTCTACAACAAAAACTATATATTACTAATTACTAGTTAATTGTAAAATTTGGTTGAATCTTAAAAATTATTGACACACTCATTGAAACTCACTCTTCTAGATGAAATCTAAAGTTTGGTCTTCTTGTACATGAAATCTTAGTGTATAATATTTGAGCAACAAATTTTTTTAGATCATGATGTAAAATTTGCGCAACAAAACATTAACATTCATCACTATCAATATATCTTAATTAAATTAATATGTAAAAACTAAATAAAATTGTGAGTTTATTAAATAAAAAAATAAAAATGTGTATCATCTTTCACCAAAAAAAGGCCTCAGATAGTCGATCTAACATCAAAATGTATGTTCAGCCGGTAATTCCAGTTGCGTATAAACAAAAACAAAATCATCATCATAGGCCTTATAAACACTAAAATAATATATTTTAGAATAAAATTGTAATCGCACAAAACGGCTCCGTGGATGAAGAGAAAAAAATCAGTCCACAGGTTCCTATCAAGATGCGAAACAAAAAATCGATTTTGGTCCAATCATGACACCGCCGGTCATCGCCGGAAAGGCTACCGGCGACGTGGCATTGAACCGGAAATGGAGGATAATAAACAGTAGGAAAAATCCAAAACATTCTAAGAGAAAATCGAATCGAAACCTCAGAGACCCGTTCCAAATCACGCACACAGCCGCCGCCGAAATCCACGCGGTCCCGACCGGCGGACAAGATTTCGCCACATAGACAAAAACCATGGACGCCGGCGGATGGGAGAGGTGAAAATCGGGGACGAAAACGCTGTGTTTGAGTGTCATACGGCACTTCCTATACTCTGGGAATTCTTCCTCATCGGTTATTTTTCTTTTTTTTTCAAAAGCATCGACCGATGCAAATTAGAGAGATAAGAAATGATTCAGGAACTTGCAGCGGCGTAGTTCGCCGGAGAAAAGGAGAGATCCGCCGTTAGGGGAAAAACGAAACAGGGGATGTGATGTGAATATAGATTGAATTAGGGTTAGCTGTTTTAAAGGGGAAATTCTGAAAATGCTCGTTGAGATTTTCATGGTGCGGCGGCGGGTATGAAGGGTTTTGGGCTAACTTTAGGGTTTCTGATATTTTTATATTTCTGGGCCTGGGGAGTAGTGGGCTGGTGACAATGGACTACCCTATTATTCGTGGAAAGGAGTCGAGTCAAGTTGGAGTACCAATTCAAGCCCTCAATGAAGAACCGGTTATGCTCAACTGGAGTTGACTCGTTTATCACTATTATCGAGCTGAGTTTCAAATCGAATTCGAGTCTTTTATGAGGTGAGTTGTATAAGTAAAAGTTATTTTACTTGGATCATCTAAATAATATGCTTTGAAAGAGTTTGAGTTTGAGTTTGACTTGTTTATCAAACGGGTCGAAGGAATTGAATCAAACTCACAAGCGACTTGTTTCATTTAAAGATCGAGTCAAAAAACCAATTTGCTCAAAAAAACAACTTTACGTTTATCAATTTGTCATACAATTAGAATACAACTAAATCCCAATATTAATGTTTTACTAGAAAATTACAAGTATGTTGTTTAATTGGCCAATTTTTTTTTTTAATTAAAATTGTTCTTTCCTCTTATTCTTTGTAAACCAATTACGAGTGCTATGTTTGATAAATAAATAATCTAACATATAGTTTTTTTTTATTAGTTTATTAGTTTCTTGTATTCAAATAAGCTTCATGTGGTAAGACGATTTTTTTTTTTAAAAAAAAACTCGAGGTTATCTCACAAGTTTTTTCGATAGTTTTTCGACTAAACTCGTTGAAATTTTTATAAGTCAACTTATCAGATAATTTCATCAATAAACTCGTTGGAATTTTATGAATCGTCAACCAACTAGGTTGGGCCCGTTTGACCACCTTTTGTGTTCGTGTTCAATTCGTTTAATAACTTCATACGGGTAGTAATACTGTAATACGCCTTTAAGCGAAATATGGACTTTTAGTTTGTCCTAATTGAATGGGCCTTTGCAGTTCAGCCTAATAATAATAAATGGTAACTGGGCCAACACTCACTGCATAATTGCAAATTGCAAATTTTGATTAATATTGAACCCATAAGAACTCGGGCATATTGGCCCAATGTATGGCCTTTGACTTCAGAGTCACGTTTCACTCTTTCTGAGTTGTGTAATATGGTAGGGGTAGTTTTGGAATTTAAATTCACAAATGTTACTATTTATTCTAATATGTTCTTTTATTTTATTTATTTACTCACATATTAATAACTACCGCTCATCTCAACTTATCACTAATAATAACGTCAAATCAACTTTAATAATTATTTTAAATATTACTTAAAATACAAACTCAAATTACAATCGATCATCCCCTCAATCATTTTTATTTCAAATCAACTCACTTGAACTATTTAAATCTAATCAAAATTAGTCTTATTTATATCTAATTGTGCCCTTAAATTTGTGAATTCGGTGCAACCTAATACTACTTACAATACAACACAATACACTTTCTCACACAACATAAACGAGAGTTGGTTTGGTTCACTTTGTCCCGCCATAGGCTAATGCTCCCATGCTTTTGACTTTTGTGTCACGCCTATTAAAATTTTCCCTTTGAATTTGAACATAAAATAAAGAAGCAGACACGGCTTGGTTGAATAAATGAGCCAAAGGTTGAACTAAGTAAAACTTCAACTCGACTCATTTAACAAGCTAAGAGTTGTAAAATGAATTATTCGCAAACACGGTTTGTGAGTTGATGTACATTATCGGCTAGTTGTCTTTGAAACCTATTGTAAAAAAACGTTTAAACGGGTTTATTCAAGAACAAGCTCTTATCAATTCGATTAATAAATTAACTCATGAGTTAGTTGTTCGAACACAAGTCTATTATATAGACAAGAGAATGCCTCATTTACCAATTTGTTCGGTTCAAATTACACATCTCTAACTATAATACAATCTAATATTAGACGAATTAATTTACCATAATTCATTAATAAAAATACATATTTATTTTAGAGATAACTACACCCTATACAAGATAAATAATTTGTTATTGCAAAATTACCTGATTCTAAAATTAATTGCAAAATTAATTGCAAAATTTGTTTTGAATCTCACTTATCTACATGATGACACATCATGTTGTACAAAATAATTGTACAAGTAGCTCTATTCTTATAAAAATTAATTAATTTAAATATGCAATTAATAAACAATATAATTAAGTGTAGACTTATATCTTTGTTGGCGGATTTTTCTACGGCACTTTCTCTCTTTTTCTCCTTCTTCTCTCTCCCTCTCTACGTTTTTTTTTTCTCTCTCTATATGTGGATTTTTTTTTTATTTTTTTTTTCTAATCGGTGGAAGACAATGGGTTGAAAAGGCTCATCAGATCGGAAGCTTGAAAAGGCTCGTCAGATCGGCGATTTGAAGAGGCTCGTGGACTAACGATGTGAAATCGCTCCCAACAGACTTTTAGAAATCTTGTCCGTCCAATTGAAGAGGCTCGTCAGATCGGAAAAGATCACCAAAGTCAAGAGCTCGTGCAAGATTCTGACCTCCGCGAAAATCTAGATTGGTTCGAAAAAAGTTGCACTTCGACAAAAAAAAAATGAAATCGAAGGACACCCGAATATCACCCAGAAAAAAAAAACGACATGAAAATGCCGATTCCACATCTGATTCAAGCCATTTTCTGTAGGACCCCAACGACAAAAATAAAAAGTTTTCACGCAAATACCCAAAAAATAGGGTTGTACATGTACTGTATATGTAGTGTATATGTTGTGCGTATGTACTGTGTATGTTGTGTATTGTGTATGTTGTGTATATGTTATATATATGTTCTGTTTATGTTATGTATATTTTTCGTCTGATTTTGTGTTTATGTTTATGTTTATATATGTTATGTTTCTCTTTATCTTAGTATAATATCATCTGTGACTAATTTGTTTGTGATATCGTGTATGTTGTATATATTTTTTTTTCTCTGTGTTTTCTCATATGTTCGAATTTTCAAATATCAACTATTTTTTCCCTTAGATATGAACAAACAAGGCCTTGTTTGGCGATAGCGGATAGCGGATTGTATTAGCGGATAGCGGATTATATTAGCTGATTTGACTAGCGGATTGCATTAGCGGTTTTTAAATAAGTGTTTGGTAAATAGCTGAAAGCTTATAATACGGATTGTTTGTTGAAATACACTTTCTGTTTTTTTTTTAATCCCATCTTAACGTGATTATATGCGAGTGGATTAATTAAGGTAACGAAATTTTCTGTTTTGTCAACAAATAGAAGCAATTTATTAGGTATTAATTCAATTATAAGTTGATCGTCTATGTACTTTTACAATTTTTTGAAAATCTTGTGTATGTATAAAAATCCGACTTTATTCTATCACATATCACATTCTTATTTCATTTTTGTTCTTAAATTAATGATTCTAAGGATATGCTCTTGTGGGAAGGCATGAACATGGACAGATGAATAAAACCCCTTCACAACTAAGTGAAAAGCAACTAAAAACACAAGCATGAAACAACAAACAAGAACACCGTGACTTCATACATCATATATAGTAAGCATCTCATAAGTTAAATCATCACCCTCAAAATCGTCACGACGCGATTTTTCTTCTTTCGCTTTTCTTCCAAAACAAAACGGTACAACGTTACGAATAAATTAGAAACGAGTCGATTCTATTTACTTTACACAAAAGACCAGTTCATGAACATGAAAGCCAAGCAATGATTGGTTTCCTCATCATCTAGAACCTTCCATGCTATGGCTTGCTCGTACGACACGGGTCGCCCCATGCTGGAAACACACACTCCTGCTGGCAGATAAGCAAAACCCTGCACATAAACGAAGAAAAAAAAAATTCAGTGAAGACGGTAAGAAAAAGCGCAAAATTTGTTCGACTAAATTACAAACCTGTTGCATGATTTTCGAGAACTCTGAGAGGAGAATTTTCCGGCCGGCTTCATCGAGTATTTTCTCGAGCATTATGTCTTGCAAGGCCACCAGGGTTGTTTCGAGCATGTCAAGGCCAGCTTGGTTTGCGAATGTAAATACAGCTGATGCCTGGTTTGTAAGGAAAAAAAAAAATAGCCAAGTAAGATATATATTTGACAAATGAATAATGCCTAACAATGATCAAAATTGACATGAATAATGGATTATATAATGTAAAAATTTAAATAATGACTAACATTCATTTTGACTGAGCAGCACATGATAGCATCCGAGTGTTGCCAAAGTTGTTTCAAAACATCGTCGCCTTCCGGTGAATTAGCTTGAAAGAGCTCGGCTCCAGTGTGCATGCTGTCGAAATAGAAAAAATGAAAAAAAAAGGGAGATTATTACACAAAATGCCAAGTTTATTTAGTAGGAAAAAATTTGAGATTTGGTCCTATAACTAACACCTAAATGAGAAATAGTGTGCTAATCGCGTTGACTTTACAAAACACCCAAAAGAACCACTACCGACAAAACCCAATCCATGTGACCGGTTGCTGGCGTGGATATTAATTTTTTTTCCATACATGTGACAGCCGACTAACATATCCAACTCAACAGTCGGTCAAATTTAACCGACTTTTTTTTTGTAGTTATATGTTATAGGGTATTTTGTAAAATCAAGGCAACCACCAGAAAGTATATTAGGTAGAAGTGTATCATTTACAAGACTAAATCTCCAAATTTTTCCTTTATTTAGCTAAAAAGACGTTTGCAAAATTTTGTTAATATTCGGAAAATGACGGAAGAAATACATACCTATAGCTCCTACAAATCCAACGTGACAATGTGACTGCCTCAGGCGAACCGGGAACGGGCTTTGGTACCAAATTGGAGCCCAATGGAGATGGAGCTATGGCCATGGCTACTCTTTGGACCGAGCCCACAATGCTCCGTACATACTGACGGGCCATAGCTGCCACACTATCCCGGTAATGATTCTCAAAAGTGAACTGAAATGCAATAGTCAAAACGGACCTAATATTCTGATTGGTCGAATCGGGTTCGCCAGGTGGGCGAGCTCCACTGTGCCCTAAATCGAGGGAAGATGCCAAGTCCAATGTTCGGCTGGTTGTGGGAATTTCCTGCATTACAAATTTTAAAATTATAAATAAAGTTTCAAATCCAATATAAATTAATATTTTAAAGAAGGGATTAACTCGATTTTAAGCAACATAATATAAAGTGAGGACAAAAAAATTGAATTTTTTTCCTAATATGCAAGCATTCTATCGGTACATTGCAAATTAACATTAAAGAGATGTAACCGAACTGATTTAGGTTCCAATGGAATAACACGAAAACCAGACGGCAACAAAGGGGCATCATCACCAAAGGATTCATCAATCGGTGCGAAAACGAGCTGAGCACATGCACTGGAATTTGTTTCATCGATCCCACTGCATAACTGCATTTTACAAATCAACGAGTCAAATGCCACCAAAAAAAATTAAAAAAATTAATAAATAAAAACACAGATAAGCACACAAAAAGGAATCAAAATAAAAATACAAATACAATAATGAATCTTTTTTTCTTGTGGACCAAACCTGCAATAAGTACATATCTCTCGACATAGCAATGTCTTCCGGGGAGAATGCATGGCCCTCCAAACGAACAACCTCCAAGAACTACATTTAAAAAAAAATGCATAAAAAGTTTAAATAAATAACTCGATACTTAAAAGCTAAAACAATCATATCTACAAAGAATTGTGTAGTACTACTAGTGCTGTTTAAACAAATCTGACTCGGCTCGACTTGTTAAGGCTCGATCTCGGCTTGACTCGTTTGATAAATGAGCCGAGCTCGAGCTCATTTAAAGCTAGTTTGGAGCTCATCTGGAAAAGAGAATTTTGATATAATTTTCTATAGTTCGGCTCGTTAAAGCTCGAGATCGGCTTGTTAAGGCTCGAACTCATCATAAACAAGCCGAGCTTGAGCTTGATTCCAGGCTCGCTTATTAAACGAGCTCGAGCACTCTAAGCACGAGCTCGGATCGGCTCGTTTATAGGCCTTAGTACTACTAAGAAAGCAGAAAGTTCACCTCTTCATGCTCGACAGTTTGCGCAAGGGGTAGTATGACCTGGCTGCTCGGGAATCCTCCGGGTTTAGTACAAGGAACAGCATAAGGACTAGCTTTAAGAGAGGCAGCTGAGTACACATCAACCCCATAATCGGCCCATTCAGAACGGTGCTCCCTCAAAAAACGAACGAGTAAAGCCGGGGGCACGTTCTGCAAAAAACAATTTCTCAATTTTTTTTTTTAAAAAATATAGCATGTAAAATAATTAATATAGGCTAAAAAACTTCATGTCAAGTGAAAAACCTGAAGAAGCATTGATGCTCGTGCGCATAAAACTCCACCGAAAGTTGGGAGCATAGACAAATTATTATATTGTGAGCCGAGAAATTTGCTCGGGGAAGAGTTAATGGCAATGGTCACATCCTCAACTCCATCACTGTCCATTATTGACCAACCGTCATCGACAAATCCATTAACAGCATCGTGAAAACCTCTGAAAAAATGAGTAAATATAAGAAAGATTGCTAAAATGATATTTAATTCTACAATAAGCATTTGTTTAATTGAATTTGTATAAGATGCATTTCAAGAAAGTATTTTTCCACCTGCAGAGTCTTTGACTTAGTGCCCGAAGGACAGCTGGCTGGCGACCCCCGCTGTACTGAATCTCACCACTGACTTCTTGAGCAATTTGTCTTATGTGGCGCAAAGCCTAAGCAAAGAGAATCATGAATTCGCAAAGAGAATTTTTTATTTTTCTTGAAAGAAAAAAAAGGGAAAATGAAGCACACTGTAACGAGAACAAGGTAAGCTCTTACAGCCATTGTCATCTTCTGCGCAAGGATTTTGGAAGATTCATACAGAGGCCTTAAAACTTCTGGAACACTGCAAGACTGCGAAGAAACACAAAAAGAAAAAAATGTGAGTTACAAATAGAAAGTAAATGACCCAAAATTCAACTCGAAAACTTTCTTACATCAAAATCTATGTGATCGACAATGTGGATAATGGATCCACCACCATCACAAGGGCGTATGAGGAAACCACTCGGCAGCATTTCGGCTCTCATAAAGCAAGTAACAGCTGGCCCCGTGGGCCCGCCCGTGGAGGAAGTTAATGACCTCTCGCAAATCTGCAGAAAATAGTTCGAGTCAATAAGAATATAGCATAAGCTTGTTTACAACAATGACCCTTTTAGGTAACTAGTTATCTATCAATACTAGAAACAATTGAAGCCAGTGTTGGGGGGATTTATAGTTATACCACTAGACTGCCATCATCAAGACTTGTGATATATCTCAATGTCCAAAAGTCTCGAGCAGATGCCAGTGTTGTTGGTGCATATACCTGCAGAGTTTATCAGGCAAAAATTTAAGCTCATAAACAGTTGCAAATAACCATTGGAAAATTACAGTAAACCAACCATTTTTGTAAAAAAAAATAAAATAAAATAAAATAATAATAAAAAAAATACCTGCATATAAACAAGCTCGATAGTCCCTCCATTCCCGGTGGGGATTGCACTCGCTACGTCATGGCAACGGCAGTCACGAAACCAGGAAAGACGATCTTTGAGAATTTCAGCAACCTGAAAAGGAAAAAAAAAATTATCAAGATTAAAAAAATTCTCACCTTTCGAAGTATTTTAACAAACATTGCTATGAAGTAAAAAGTAAAAACAAAAAAAAAAAAAAAAAAAGAAGTTTGATAATAGTTACCTTTGTGGGTTCGAGACTCACAAGGCCACAGGCTCGAGCCGCTACCCCACTACAATTGCGGGAAACAGCAACGATGCCAATAGAATCCGGACCAGGCTGCACACAAATATAAAGTCCAAATCAAGGAAAATAAAATAATCAAAATAAAAACAAAATCAAAGGACAAAAATAAGGAACTGATTTAGTTAGTCTTAGGCTGGGTTTGGTAAGCATATAAGCTAGCTTATAGCCTATTTAATTAGCTTATAAGTTTTCTGTATTCAAATAAATTTGGCTTAATCGAACAAACTTTTTTAAAAAAGATCGAGCTTATCTCATAAGCTTCTTCTTCTTTGCGTAGCTTTTCAAATAAGCCCATTGAAATTTTTATTTCAACTAATTTTATCAAATACTTTTAGCATATAAGCTAGTTTTCAGTCATAATTCATAAACTATCCGTTATAACCTCGAAATTCACTTCAAAAACTATGAGTACCTTCATCCCAATCATCTGGACCCAGTCGACAGCAGTTCCAGTAGCCTTTCCAAGGAACTCTGCCAGGGTCTCCTCAGCTATCGCGAGAAGACTAAAATTTAACCCCACCAGCCAAAAAAAAAGGTTAGAAAATATGAAAACAGATAAAACAAGCAGGTATTTAATTATTTATTATATAATTTTCAGACAAGCAAAATATTACAAATAAAAACAAAAAATTACCCAGCTGGGCTGTTTGCATCCCTCTGAGGATGCTGAGGAGTTGGGTTCTTTTGTTGTTGCTGACCACTCATTACCACTGAGTCACAACTCGTATCGGTAGTGGTCGTGCTTACCTACATTTCAATAGAAAAGATTAAAATTTTAAGAGAAAAATATTAAGAAAAGTAAAATTAACACACAAAAGAAAAAAGAAAATAATACACAAATAAGAGCCTTACAGTGTGGAGTTGCTGGCGCATGTAACCGTTTTCGTAAACCAACTGTGAGACCTGTTTTTGAAGGCGATCATTTTCTTCCATCAGCAGCTTATTCATGGCAGTCAGCTTTCGGTTTACAGTCTGGAGACGGGATGCTTCTTTTCTCTGTTTTTCGCGACATCTAACATGAAGATACAAAATACTAAACTATTAAACATGCTGCAAGCATTGTTCATACTTGTCAACATATCAGACTCTGCTAATCTATGCAATTTTTTTTTAACAGAGGCAGCTAATGTACGTGCAAAAACATGGAAAGGGGAAACTGAATAAGAATAGATACTCAAATTTGCATAGCTTCATGCTAAGAAATTAAAAGATTCTGTTTAGAATTCTCAAAAGGCTAATAAATGAAAAAATCCATGAGTAAATATACTCCATTTAGCTTAGTACTTCAAACATTTTTTTTTTT